CACTATGCCTGGATTAAAGGGACAGGGTGTTTTTCTTCAGGCCTGTTGCAACCTTATGACTTCCACTGCAGGAAAATATAGGGCAGGAAGAATTATAGATGAAAAGAGAATTTAATAACAGCAAGAGATGAACTTTGATGGTTTTCAAATAAATCTGTATCATGAACAGGAGATGGCACTTTATACCCAAATAGGGTTGGAGTATACAAGGTCTATAGTGCGCCTACTTGAAGATCACAAGAACAGTTTATAAGGGACAGCTGAAGCACTGCTAATTAGCATAGGTAGATTAGGGATTTCCCACAATTTCAAATTATGTCCTTCCTGTCTCCTGATTGGCTGTTTGGAGACTTCCTGCTCCAACTGAGCCCTCCCTCTTCATTCCTGTCCCTCACAGCAGTTAGGTAAGCCTCTGTGCCTGTCCTCTGTTCTATCAGAGTTTATTTCTTCTTTAGTAAACTGAGTTATTTTCTTTAAACACTTTGTGCTGCATTCCTCTGAATGTTTAAACTCTGCCAACAAATAGTACCACAACATCTGGTGAAAGTTTTTTAAAAATTATCTTGTTTAGACCCATGGACAAACAAGAAAAACAAATGATTGCTGGTAAGTCACAAAATGAGCCAGAGAAGATGCGTCAAGAAAAGGGTGTAATAAAGGAGTCTGTGTTTCAAATGACCCTAGCTGATATTTATGTATTAACCAAAATAATTTCATTTCTGGTGATTCACTTGTGACACTCATCTGCAAAGAAAAGTACTATTGTATCCAAGATACACTTTCTTTCTTGTAAAATGAGTCAAGGCTTTTAGTACTATTGTTAATTGGCCAGTTGCCTGCAGCCAAAATCGGCCAGTTGCCTGCAGGACTAAAGAAGCAAAGGTTAGTTTGTGGTCCAGTGTAGACATTTGTTTTTGTGATGATATCGCTCTTGCACGGTGACCTCATTTCCACATGGATAGGGGTTCATGAGTTCACCCACTATGTGTCGGATTGCCAATAGCCTGGGGGGGGGGGGAATTCAGTCTCTTTAATAGAGCTTTAATGGGATTATTTACCAGGTGATGACAAACTCTATGGCATCAAAAGCTTCAACTGCCTATTTCCACACATGAATCCTCTATTAAAGGAATGAGACATTTTTCTCTAGGCTTGTTGGCAACCCTAATTACATGACAAACTCAGAAGTTAGTATGTCAGAGCAAATAGTAATTTTCAAGCATTTCTTTAAAAAATCTCTCCCCCTCCCTGTGAATAGCCCTCCAGTCAGCTTATATCTAAACAGAAAGATTTAGATGTAGAGAGGAATTTCTGTAACTCAAAGTAACCACACCAAAGAGCATTGGTTTGTATCCCTAGGGAGGGGAGTTTCATCAACTGGATTCTGCAGGTCTTTGGCTACATAATGGTCCTAAAAAGAAAGAAAGATGGAGATGGGCAAAAGGATGCAGCAATGTGAAATTCATTCCTTTGGTTCTCTGCCCCTGCGCCCTTTATCATGCCAATCAAATGTTTCAATCTGTACCTTGGATGTGAGCAATCAGGGGTCATTGGCGGCTGGAGCGTGCCGGAGCAATTTCCTGAAATTGTTCTTTGAAAACAGTTCATCTTACTTACAGCAATACAGCCTACAAGGGGCTTCCCCTGAAAATTGTTTGGAAACTTCAATTGGTATGGAATGCTGCAGCAAGGATGTGTTGTAGGGACCACATCTCTCCAGTCTTTGCCAATCTTGCCAGTCTGTTCATGGGCACAATTCAAGGTGCTCATGTTAAACTTTAAAGCTTCTAGACCAGGGGTGTCAAACATGTGGCCCACGGGCTGGATCAGGGCCCCGGAGAGCTTCTATCAGGCTCGCAGTGGAATTAGCTGTCTTCCAGTGCTACTGCGTGGTAGGTTGCAATCCCAGACTCTCTCAGTCACTCAGGAGAGATAGATAGGCAAGCTTGTTCCCTGCACTGGCTGAGTCTCCTCCCCCTCCCCCCCCTTGGGGGGGGAGAGAGAGGGAACAAGTCAGAGTTGGCTTCCTGGCCAGGCTGCCTCAATTGCCCAGGAAACAAAGGCAAGCCTTTCTGCCTTTCCATAGGCTGAGGCTCCTCCGTGAAGGGAGGGAGGGAAGAAGGGAGTACTTGCTTTGCTTGGCTGCTTCAATCACTTGGGAGAAATACAAAGCACCTTTAAGACCAACAAAGTTTTATCCAAGGTATGAGCTTTTGTGTGCCTTGCTACAGTTTGTGTGTTTTGTTGGGCTCGTTATGCTGTGGCTCTCCTGGGTGCAACTGGGCTCCCTCCCCCTTTTCACTGTATTCATGCCCTCATGATCCAATCTTTCTCAGTAGGAAAGCAATGTGAACTGTTTAGATGAGGAATAACAACAAGCCAGTGAGGTGGATTAGGCCGAGAGTGTATGTCGACCAAGTTCACCAAGCACATTTCCTTTGGGGATTTTGAACTTAGACTTCTGAGACAGTAGGCCAATATTGACCACTGGAGAAGACTATTGTTGTTGCTATTATTATTATTAAAATACATTTATATCCCACCCTCCCCGCCGTGGCAAGCTCAGGGTGGCTAACAAACATATATATGAATATATATTAAAACTCCATAATATAGTAAAACAAATTAAGAAGATTACAATATAAAACCATAACACATAGTTTTGTAGAAGAGAAGAAGGGAAGAGATTAGATTTATACCCTGCCCTTCACTACCCAAAGGTGTCTCAGAATGGTTTACAACCCCTTTCCCTCCCCCTCCCCACAACAGACACCTGTGAGGTAGGTGGGGCTGAGAGAGCTCTCCCGAGAACTGCCCTTGAGACAACAGCTCTGAAAGAATTTAGGACTGACCCAAGGTCACACCAGCGGCTGCATGTGGAGGAGGGGGGAATTAAACCCGGTTCTCCCAGATTAGAGTCTACGCTCCTAACCACTGCACCAGGGGTGGCCAAACTGCAGCTCGGGAGCCGCATGCGGCTTTTTCGCACAGTCTGATTTTAATGTAAATAAAAAGCAAAATGTGCATATTTTTCAATAAAAATGTGTGTGTGATATTTGTTCATGTCTTGCAGCTCTCAAACATCTGACATTTATTCTGTGTGGCTGATACGTTAAGCAAGTTTGGCCACCCCTGCACTACACCAAACTGTAGACAAACACATAGCTCTCAGTCTGTGTCATGGTGCCTTCTCATGTTCTTGACCAGCACATGAAGCAGTTTATGTACAAAAGCTTGCAAAACCCAGCCATTTCGTGTTTTCCCCTGGATCCGAGACTCAGAACTCAGAGCATGAGATTTTTGTAGTGAATGTCAAATTAAAAAAAATTGGGTTTGCAGCTTACATACACACATTTGAACAGCATACTCAAGATTGCAACAGCACAGACATTTTGATGCAATAATTCAGAGCAAAAGGTGCCAGTTACCAGACACTGTTAAATAAACAAAATATTGCAAGTGTGCTAATGTTTTAAGCATGTTTCTGTTTTAAGTAAAAAATTAATCTTTGTGTTTGTGTCCTTTATAAAGTTTATATCTCTGCTACCTGGCAATACATTTCATGGCACACATGGCCCGGCCCAACAAAGTCTCATTTATGTCAGATCTGGCCCTCATAACAAATGAGTTCCCCTGTTCTAGACAGTGCCTTGGCAGCCCTTAGCAGTACCATTGGTGTTCTCATACAGGTGCTATTTAACACTCTGTACTGCTCTATAGAGACAGGTGTGGGCAGGACCCCCAAGTACCATTTTTATGGGCCTGGTACAATTTGTCAAAATGCAATCCTGCCCCCCTGCCCCCCAGATCCAATAGAGAGTCATGAATGAAACAAAGTCTATTCATTTCGGAAACTGTGTAATTAGACACACAAGCTTTCAGTTTGCATCGCTTCCCCCAGCCCCAAACCTGTTATTTCTGCAGTGAAGTGCATTTATTCCTTGCCCCCATGCGTGGACCATGAGTGGAGCACAATACTGTTCTTTCTAATGTATCTCTGCATTAGTTATAAGTGGAGCTCAAAAAAAGCTTAAAAAACTAAAAGCTTTAGAAATCCTAGGAGGTTGTCTGCAAACACTGATAGCCAGGGTTTGAGTGTCAGGCTAGCATCTGGGAGACCCAGGTTTAAATTCCCTCTCTGCCATGGAAGATCACTGGCCGACCGTGGGCCAGTCACACTCTCTCTCAGCCTAATCTCCCTCCTTGGTTGGTTGTTGTAAGGATAGAATGTGGAAGGGAGAATCATGTGTGCTGCACTGGAAAGAGGGGACAAAAAAGTATTAGCTATAACAATGATGTTTGGGTGGAGTGGGGTGTTCTTGCCTTTCGCAAGAAGGGTGAACGTCAGCAAGCAATTATTTTATGTGTCTCGTCTTTCCTTCACCAAGCACATGACAACTGCAATTAGTGACTGATTGCAAATGAAAACAATATCTTAGTCCTGATCATTTCATGTGCTATTGTTTACTTCTTCTCATGCAACAGCACATAGGATGGGGGATAGGATTTGACTGGACCAAAACAATCTTAGCTTTCTGAGGTTTGCCCCCTCCCCCCCTTTGCTGGGAGATGGTAATAAAACTTGTGCTGAAGGCTGTCTAATTGGTGCTCAAGATCCCCGCCGTGAATCCCCTCAAAAACTGGTAAGAACAGGGAGCAGAGAGGTGGGACCCGTCTTCCCCAACTGCAGCTTCCTATTTTCCCACTCTTCCAAAAGTGGCGCTATAGCTCCGCTTTAAAAGGGTAACTGGATCTTGCACCCACTGACATGGACATTTTAGTCAGAGAAGTAAACGGATGGGATGCGTCGTAATAACTTCCCTAAAGTTGAAAGGGAGTGGGAGGAGTCTGGGGGCGTTGTGAGAGCTTGGTGCCGCCGCTGTATCCACAGCAACGGCTGTCGATTGATTCCAAATCAGGCTGTCAGCGCTCGTCTTGTTTGAAGGAGGAGATAATTGCAAGGTTGGCGCGTTACAAACGGTCTCTTTGGGCTGCGCTAAACAAGAAGTTGATCTCGAGCAACAGACTGATTTGCACAAAAGGAGGAGATTGATTGTGCCGTGTCTGTTCTGGGAGGAGAGGCAGAGACTGAGGGAAAAAAAATCCCTTTGTAGGTAAAAGCTGTTTTCATTTATTTTTACTGTGGCGGGAGATCTAGACACGCGTCGGCTGCTCAGTCAAAACAAAACAAGAGCAGCTTCTCCATTCCTTTGTGCAGCCCGAGACTCTTAGCAGGTTTCCTCGGAAGTAGCTCCTCTGAATTAAGTGGCGAATACTTCGTCTTAAATGAACCGAGGATGGCAGCCCAGTCCTGGCTGTGCTTGTTTAATTAGTAATGCCCTATTGACTTTTGTAGCAGGGAGGATTACAGCCTTATGTGACCCCAGCCAGGAATTGTTGTTTTTGCTACCTTTTATTCGCTTTCTTCTGCCTGAGCAATCCGCGGCAGGCTTCAGTTTTAGCCCTCTCTGTCCCCAGGAAACTACGGTGGGTGGGGACGCCGAAGAGAGACCTCCCACCCCCCCTTTTCATTTTGCTAAATAATTTTAATTTAGAGCGTAGCTGGCAATGCTGAGACTGCAGATAGCAGAGACGAGCCTGGCAGGCTTTCCCCACTTTTTTTCCTTAAAAAAAAAAAAAAAATCTTTCCTCAGGCGGTGCATGAATTCGCTTGGCTGACTGATTTGGTGAATGAAAAGTGGAACGTTTTTTGTTAACTAATGAACTGCTTCAGGTTTCACTGCTCGGGAGATATCGATAATAGGAGGATTTTAGTCCTTAATAGAATCTGTAACAAAAAAATAATAATAGGTTAAATCATCTATAGTCTTGGTTTTCTTGATTCCCCCCCCCCCCCCTTTTTTTTGTGTGTGACCTTTTTGTGTGTGTGTGAAAAGCCTTAAGCCTTTGCACGTTGCAGCTTGGCTTGAGGCCGGCAGAATGAAAAACTCTCTATGCAGATTCTGCGGCTGGCGTCTCTAGAGCGGGCCTTGGGCGAGAGGCTCCTGAAACTTGGTGGGTTTTCCCCCTTGCAACGCTGCCGAGTCCTGAAATGACTAAACACGAGAAGAAACCCTCTCGGCTTATGTATTTTGGTTTATCAGCAACAAGCGAGGAGCGTATTTATAGTCGGCTGTGTAATTGTGTGGAGTGGAAGGTTTCAATTTTGTTCAACAAGCAACATACCAGTTGCAAGCAGGCATAATATCTCTCCGGGGTTTGCACACGGGGTACGTTTTACAGAACGAACAGCGACGATTTACGGAAGAACGAAGACAATGCCGTGTTGATCCACAGAAGCTCCTGGCGAGACGCCCTGTGGCAAATAAGGGGCAGGGGCGACTGTGAACGTCCTTCTTCCGGGGCCGCTGGTGCGAGCTAGCCTGTACAGACCGCGTTTCTGTGGCAGTCAGGGGCACCAAGAGAGGAAGATAAGCTTTTCACAGCTTGTGCAGGTGTCCTGCTCTCGAGGCGGGATGGCTGTGCACTCTGCGTCTTCCATACCCAGGAGGCAGATGAATGTCTTTCGGCCACTTGATGCAGGCATTCAGGTGTTGTAGAGGCTGGTGCTCTTGGAGGCCATCCTTGGTTCCTAGGATTGCCACCTGACCAGGAAAAAGAAAAAAAAGATTTGCCTGGTTGATCCTTTTTTGCTTTTAGCAAAAAGCATAAATGCCTACTGCGTAATGTACATCCAGCTGTTGTTAAAGCCAGTTGAAAATGGTGGCCAGTTGAACATTTGGCAACACTATTGATTCCTTTGTTGCGAGGAGCATGATTGCACTTCATTGTGTGGGCCTCCTGATTTGCTACCTACCAGCAGGAAGAAAGGTGTGCAGGTCGTCCATCTCCTCCTTGGAAGGCCATCTCATAAGTAGCTTGCCTTCAGTACTACCTGCTGTGGGCTTGCTTCTTCTCTCCTTCCCAGGCAACTTTGGAAGAAGGGGAACTTGCAATAGGGAAGGCTGGATACAGTGAAGGGCAGTCAGAGAGCTCAAAAAGGGCCTGGACTTTCTGAGTGTTTGGAGAACTCTTGGGCAAAGTCCATGCTTTTCCATGGAGATGGCAGAACTACCTTAGAAAATAAGTCAAGATGATTATTCGATCATTAGAAATCTAGAGAGTGGGGTCTGTGACAGCTGTTTTGACGGCATGGCGACCTGCCTGCCTGGTGCAAAGGTCGCAGACATCACGTGCTGTCTAGGTAGATTGATAGTGCTGGGGAGCAGTCATGGTGCAGGTCGGCACCAATGACACTGGGAAATGTAGTCGTGTGGTCCTGGAGGAAAAATGTAGGTTACTAGGCAGAAAGTTAAAGGGCAGGACCTCAGAGGTAGTGTTCTCAGAAGTGCTGCCAGCTCCATGTGCAGGGCCACCTAGACTGGCACAGATCAGCAGTCTCAATGTGTGGATGAGAACGTGGTGCTGAGAGGAAGGGTTCAGATTTGGTAGGCACTGGGGAACTTTCTGGGACAAGCTGAGCCTGTACAAAAGAGATGGGCTTCACTTGAACCAGAAAGGAACCAGGCTGCAGGTGATTAATATAAAAAAGTGACAGAGCAGCTTTTAAACTAATCCCGGACAGGAGCTGGGGAGCTTCTGGTTTGGGATAACTCAGCCGAAAGGGATAATTGCATCAACACTCAGGGTAATATTGATAGGAGCATAATAGAACCTGGGAGTGAGGGCACAGTGGCAACTGAGGGCCATGTGTGGTGACTAAGGGACTGAGGGAGGAGAGGTTACTGGAGAGGGAAACAGCGTTACAGGTGCCTGTATGCCAATGCTAAAAGTCTCTGAACTACGATGGGGGAGCTGGAGTGCTTGGTGTGCAATGATAATTTAGATATAGTAGGTATCTCAGAAACATGGTGGAATGGGGAAAATCTATAGAATACAGTGATTCCTGGATATAGGCAGGACAGGGAAGGACAGGTTGTTGTTGGTGTTGTGTTGTACATTGAAGAGAACATAGAATCAAATAAGAAAACACCAGGAGAATGAATTCCCCAATAGACTTGGTTCTGAGGGGGTCTCAAGACCTGGTGAGAGATGTAGAGGTTGTTACACCGATTGGGAGCAGTGACCACAGTGCTATTAAGCTCAGCATTCAGGTCAATGGAAAGTTACCCCTAAAGTCCAAAATGGTAACATTTGATTTCAAAAGAGAAAATTTTACAAATATGAGGGGAATATAAAAAGGAAGTGTAGGCTAATGGGGTCTGAACTTGCTGAGACAGAGAGGGGAAAAGATCTTGGGGTCATAGTGGATAATTCAATGAAAGTGTTGTCCCAGTGTGCTGCTGTGGTAAAAAAGGCAAACTGTTACGTTAGGGATGATTAAGAAATGAATTGAGACTAAAGTGGCTAATATTGTAATGCCCCTGTGTAGATCTATGGTGCAGCCTCATTTGGAATACTATGTACAGTTCTGGTCACTGTGTCTCAAAAAGGCCATGGCAGAGCTGAAAAAAGTACAGAGGAGGGCAACCAAGAAGATTAGGTGGTTGGAGCACCTTCCCTATGAGGAAAGGCTGAAGAGTCTGGGAATTTTCAGTTTAGAAGAGAGATGACTAGGGGGGGGGGCATGATAGAGGTTTATAAAATTATATATGGGATAGAGAGAGCTGACAAAGAGAGAACTTTCTCCCTCTCCCCAAATGTCTCTATGCCCTATTGCTGGCCATCCAGAGGAACAGGTTGGCCACTGTGTGAGACCGGATGCTGGGCTAGATGGGCTATTGGTCTGATCCAGCAGGGCTCTTCTTATGTTCTTAAAGAGGGGATTCTGTCTATTAAGCAGTGATTTGACAGTAGTAAGCAGTGGTTTGACAGTAGTTGGTGCATAGGACTTGAGGGAGTTCCACTGAAACATCTCTTATAGGTTAACATGATTGTGCTAATACTGTGAATGATGTATAACTGGGTTTGACTTCGTGGTGCATAATATTTCATGGTGTTGAAAGTTTACTCTTATTTTTTCCCCCTACTTTTTTCGCAGAGGGATTTACTTTGTTACCAACTGAAAAAAAGTCTGCTAAAGACTAGAATGTCAAACAAGAAAGGTACAGGGATACTTTAAGAGTTATGGTGGGTGAATTCAAATGAGATTGCAGCAAGCAGAACATTTATTGCATAAGGCTAAAGGCCATTACAAAAATGAGATTGTTTGCCAATCAATGCTCCCTCTAAGCTGTGGAGTCTTGTGAGCAAAAATTCAGCTTTGTGAGCTACTGGCATTAAAGCTGTGAGCAGGCAATTTGGGTACTGCATAGATTAGTTTGCTCTGGAGCCATCCCTTCCTGAGCTAAGGCAAAAATGTGTGAGCCGGAGGCTAAAAAACTGTGAGCTAGTTCACACTAACTCAGCTTAGAGGGAACCCTGATGCCAATAACTTCCTGCCCAATGGCTTCTAATAATTACTGTGTTTGAGTTCAAAACAACTCTGTTAAGTACACCATTACATTCACATTTAACCTGTGAAAAACAGAGAGATCATTCACACATGCATGTTCATCACGCAGTGTTCTGTCACTTACGTCAGCACAGTCACTAAGGCTGATATTCCAAATCACTGCAAGTAAATACAAAGAAACCCAGATCTCAGCATAGCAGAGAGAAAAGGTCTGGCCCATCCCAATCCCTGATTTGCTAGTTTTCTAAATGCAGAATTTCTTTTTCATTAGAAGAGCTTTGGAAATGTGATTCTGATATCAGCACTGTCTGTTCTACCACCACAGAATTCTACTACTTTATTCTTTACATTTGTAGACCTGTTGCGAGCTATGACCAGACTTTAAGGAGTTACTCATGACTAACAAATACTTTGGCTGAATCAGACAAATATCCTTCAAGTTTTATCCATAGTTTCCCTTAGGTACAAAAGGAAAAATGCTGATGAATAAGGGCATACAATAGAATATAGTCCCAGAGACTATAACTGGCAGTTATTTTTTCTGGGATAAATGGATCTAATGATATAAGTCAATGCCCCATTACCTGTTAAGTAGAAAGCGTATCTGGGCAGGGAATACAGAGAAACACTCTTGAGTATAATGAAGTTTGAGTCCAGTGGCACCTTTAAGACCAACAAAGTTTTATTCAAGGTATAAGC